TTCTTTTAATGCAAAAATAATTTATTTGATGTATATATTATTTTATCTCTCTCTATTTTATATATATATATATATATATATATATATATATATATATATATATATATATATGGTCTTAAAGTAACAATGGTCGTTTTACTAGCAACATTTATTGATGAATTTTGTTTTATTTATCTTTGTTTGTGTGTCTTAAAATATAGAATAAATACTATAATATCTCTGAAATAACTTGCATTAAAATTTCCGTAATATAATTTATTGTATTTTGTTTAGGTGGGGGAACTATGCAAAATAATCCCTAAGAATTTTTTGTTTTCGTTAGTTCGTTAGTTGTCTTCACTGATTAAAAAATCAGTGAAGCTCTTAAGAGAAATATTTCCAATTTTTCAAAAACTATATTGGTTTATAGAACAAAAAATGTTCCACAACACGAGGAAAAGCTACGTGGAAAGTGACGAGGTCATATGCAAGTGGGGTTGTGTTGGTGGGGAAATACCTCCATCTGCTGGATGAATTCTAGAATTACAAGCACAAAATCCAGCGAAACTTTATATTATAGAGAACATTATATCCATTAAATAATTTGTCAAAAACATGCAATAAATTATGTTTTATTCCTTTATTTTGCAAGCTGCATACATTTTAAATACTGTACTGGAAAGCATTTTGTATTACAGAAAAAAGACGTGTAGAAAACTAGACGTCACACACTGAAATGAGTGATTTCTCCTTGCTCCTGTCTCGATTACACCGCTTGATGGCAGCACTGAAGCATAGCCCTTTACCCAAGCAGACGAAGAAAATCCATTCTATACTGTGAGTGGACCAAAGAGTGACGTAACCAACCAACGTAGCACCCGGAAGAATGACATATGTTTATCACTGAGGTTTAGGGTAAGTCTTGATATTTTATTGAGTCTTCTTCAGGAATAGGAAAAGCTAACTTTTTTCACCGCTGTCTTGTGGTCATTATTGCTGTCTGAGCAAACAGACCAAACTCTGTTCCTGTTAGCAAACTCTGAAGGTTAGCCGAACTTGTTTGTTTTAATTTCAGTCGTTAGTCCTGTTTTTTGAGTGACTCCTCAGTTTACCTTGTGTGTTTATGGTTGCTGTTCTGCAACATATTATGTTTATATGTAGAAGAGAAGTACATAAATTCAGCTTCAGTGTATAGTCTTCATAGACAGAAAAGAAAGGTTACAGAAGAGGTTAATTTTTATTGTTTTTAAAAGTGGCATTTCTGCTCATGGCCTAAAATAAAAGAACCCGAATGGTGAATAATTATATTCATTATTTACATGAGTTAATTTACTAGTTCTTAATGTAATCTAACTCTGTTCACATTTGTAGTTTCCTTAATGCACAGATCACACAGCACGCATCAAAATGGCCTCATACTTTGATGAACATGACTGTGAACCCACCAACCCTGAGGAGCAATATCGTCAGAATGCACTACTGGAGCTGGCCAGGTGAGATCCAACCTACCTGACTCACATGTTGTACTGTAACTGTGACCTGCAGATTCTACCTCTGGGATTTTCTGTTTGTCTTCAGGTCCTTAATGCAAGGTTTGGACCTGATTGACTCCGGGGCATTCGACCTGTCAGACTGGGACCAGCGGCTTCCTCCCCCGGCTGCCAAAACTGCTGTTCAGACCCTCACTGTAGTTGTCATTTCCGCAGAACAAGCAGGTGACAGAAATTCTGACAAACGAGTTGAATGCAGACATTGAATGTGTGTTGGGACTCCGTAGAGAGAAAGTTTGAGGGATCTTAGTGTTTAAAGCTGTCAGCCAGATGATCTTTTGCGTATTTGAGGAGATTTAATTTGATTCTTTGTGTTCATGGCAGACAAAGGTTTGAAGTGTCCTGTGTGTTTGCTGGAGTTCGAGGAACAAGAGACGGTTCGAGAAATGCCTTGCAAACACCTCTTCCACTCAGGATGCATACTACCCTGGTTGGGCAAGGTAAAGCTCACAAATGTGCAATTTATTAAATGTATTTTTTTTTACACATTTGAACAGCGGTTTGCATGAAATCCCTTTAAAACGTTCACATTTTCCACTTTTACATCCTAGACTAACTCCTGTCCGCTTTGCCGACTTGAGTTACCGACTGACAATCCAGAGTATGAGGAGTTTAAAAAGGACAAGGTGAGCTGCTTGATGAGCTGTTTCACTTTTTGTCACATTACAACCACACTGTATTCCACTGGGGTTTTATGTCCTAAATATAAACAGACATGACTTTAGAAATCCTTTTTGCAGTGGCTGTTATGCATTGTTGCAGACATACAGGACAAATAAACCCACACAATAAAATAAAAAGAACAGTCCAGTCAAAGTCCAGACATAAATCCACCAGGGAATCTGAGAGAATTCGAGCTTCAACATTTCTGTGCTACACTGTGTTGGAGTTTGCGTCTTTTGCGGCGTGCTGGATCTGTCAAGTGGAACAGTTTTTGCTTCTGTGTTTTCAGTAGGACCTGATTGTGGTTTTTCTCTTTCAGGAGAGAAGAAAACAGAGGGAGCACCGACTTGAGGACCTGCATGGAGCCATGTACACCTGATGAAAGTGCTGAATGCTCCAAGAGCAGCAAGCTGCCTGCATTCAGCCCAATTCCACAAAGATACAACCCTGTTTGATGTACTGAGACCCTTTTGCTACCTACAAAAAAAAAAAACTCAAACAAATCTAAAACTTTTCCACAGAAGCCCCTCAACAGCCACTGGCACCACTGGATGCTCCATTGTGTTAAAATGAGAGTTTATATTAAATGGCACCAGCTTTGGGAACATGATAATGGAACATTTCAAATGTGCTTTTTTTTTTTTTAAACCCGATGTTTCCAAATGGAGCAGATAGCAGCTCTGAGCACTCTGACTTGAAATTCCTTTTTTTTTTTAATTTATGAACTTCTAATGTGCATAAAAGCTGTACTTATCAAGAAAATGGAAATGTTTATGCAGAGGAAATGAGCAGTGACTATTTGTTATATTTGGAAAGCTTTTTGGGTTTTCTTTTCCATGTGTATTTGTTTTGGCTATTAAAGCTGGCAATATGAGGCATGTATGTATATGGATACATATTTTTTATGCATTTATGAGGCAAAATGAAATAATTTACCAAAGAAACCTTTGAGTCCCTTTTCTCATAAGAGGCCTCCTGTGCATTAGACTGTGTTGCACACTAAACTAAATTTAGTTGATGGGAGGTAAAAAAAAAAAAACATTCAACAAAAACCAGTTTGATAATAACTTCTTATTTTTATTTCATATTTGAATATAAATCTCTGTCAAAATAAAAGGCCTAAATGATAGACAAAAAATCAGACATATTTACAGAATTTATAAAAGGAAACAATTTCTGTTGACTTTTTTTATTTTAAAGAGGGGGTTTCTCTGATGCCTTCGTTAATATTCTGTGTCTTTTTTCAAATTTACAGGACGTAGGAAGAGAGTACATTTCATAGACATTTGGATCTGTGTTGTGAGTATTAACGTAAAAGTCAGGCGGCCTTCTAAAACATAAGGCTCCACACAAACCCTTGGACAGCGCACACAATGATCTAAGAACAAAACAAAAGAAAAAGAGAAAATCTCCACCTTTCATTGGATTATTTGGCATGTTGAATGGTTTTAATGGTACAGAAGCTGTTTGGGCCCCAGTGTTTGGGCTCACAAGCTGCCGTTTAGAGTCGCACGTTGACTTGGTTACAGTATGGCCAAAAAAAAAAAAAAAGGCTACAGCTAAACAGAAGTCAAATATAATAAAAAAAAAAAAAACGTTTCTTAGGCAGAGTACATGGGATAAGGCTGAAAACAGTGCACTTCATACTAACTCATACCGCCGCATCTGACACACACACACTCACATAAACAGAAAGAAAACTGTATACTCCAGTCTTTTTTGGCATGGTTTTCTGCAGTCCAACAAAAATGTCAAGTTCAAACTTTTTGCACAGTAAGCGATGAGAGCGCCGTGTGCTCATTCAGCTTATGTAACAGCATAACCCCAGCTCTGTCACATTCGGACACTTGTGGACACAGCTGGAAAATACTGAACCTCGACCAAAGAATAACAAAAAAATACAAAAAAAACCCAAAACAAAACAAAAAAAATACTTCCAACAAGTTGGAAAGCTGCATCTCCCATCTTTCACATCAGACCCACAAAAGAGGTAGGAGACGTGACCTTTTGAAAACGTGTATTGCTGGCATCCTGTGTGTTTGACGAAATAAAACGCATCAAGCAGAAGGACAAAAAAAACAAACAAACAAAAAAACAGATTATAGATGCATGTGCTTTATGAAACCTAGCAGTGAAAACTTTCATCTGAGCAAAACCTGTGCAGGTTGTGACTCAGAGCGTCGTGGCAGTCTGCTGTCCGGCTAGTTTTCTTCTCAATAAATCGACTGAAGGAACCGATAACAAAGAAGGGTGGGATACAACACAGGTACAGTATGGGTTGAAGTCAGTCGACATCCTGTATGGCAGTGTCTCATTGTAACACTGTTGTGACAGCACCAATTATAACATAAAAAAAAAAAAAAAAAAAAAAAAAAATTTTTCCCCCCCAAAAAAAAATTCCCCTATAGAAAAATTAAAACAAAAACTTTAAATTTTTTTTTTTGGTTTTTTTTTTTTTTT